GAGGTAATGATAACTTAAGTATATACATATCTTGACATCAATTTGACTACTTGATATGACTTTTCTTTCTAAAACATATTTTTCCTAATAGTAATATATTAGTAATATAAATTTTAATAATTATTTTTTTGATATTTAAAAAAAAAATTTGTTGCAGAAGTTGTTTCTCGTTAATAATCATTATTTTTAGCATATAATAATAATAATAATAATAATAATTTTTTATGTAAATTTTATAATTTCTTTTACTTTAAAATTACAATCATTTAAAATTAATATTATTTTATTTTAATTTTATAATTAATATTTAAATATAAAAAAGGTGTTTTGAGAGTTTTTGAGGAGGAAGTTGCTTGTTGTAGAACATCTTTTCTTTATATTGTTAAATTAATAGATTATATTTCCTATATTAACATAATACATAATAATTTTTATAATTAATTTTTTTTATATTTTAAAGAAAAATAGTTATTGCAAAAATTGTTCACTTTTTTATATATGTATTGCATTATATATATATATATATATATATATCAATGTTATATTTGAATTATTTAATCGTGTATTTACTTTAATTTATTTTCATTTTAATACTTAAAAAAGTGACGAGTACATTATTCTTAAATTAAATAAATAGTGATAATCAAATAATATTAATTATTATAAAAAATAGATAAAAATGCTATCGATTAAAATTAATAATCAGTGACAAAAAATTGACATTTAATAATAATAATAATACTTTATTATTATTATTATTATTATTATTATTATTATTAATTTTTAGTAGTGACGATTAAATTATCATTATATAGTCTCGTATACTTTTGACAACATGATTTTGTCATTATTATGTATGAGTGCTAGTGACGATATTTTTATCACAGTAAATATTTTGTTTGTGATATCTAAAAAATAGTCACTAATGAAATAGTGACTCACATATTTGTGACGACTGATGACAAATTAAAATATCGTCACAAGATATATGTAGTGATGATTTTTAAGATTATAATGACAAATATTTTCATCATAAAAATCATTTTTTTTTGTAGTGAATTCCTCAACAAAGACAAGTTTAAGTTCTTGAAGTTTATCAGCCTCTTTTTTTTTCCGATGTTGGCTTTTGTCCATAGTGGTTAAATATTGTGTTGAGCTTTTGCACGGCATAAATGATTAAGTATGTTTTGCTTCGATCTTATCTTATGTGGTTAAGCATTATGTTAGATTTATGTTCTTGATGATTAAGTTTTTTTGCTTTCGTTTTAAGGAAGTTAAACATTTACCATTATTTTACTTCTACCTTTTAAATATTAAGCATGTTTGTTTCTATTAAGTTGTTAAATCTTGTGTGATGACTCATACCAATTGGCTTTTTGATCGTTTTAGTCTTTATATAGCTTTTATCTAATACATTTTTAACATATTTGTATTTCATTTAGTTTATCCTAAGATAAAAAGTGTCGTGAATACTTTCGAGCTTGAAAAAAGTTATTAGAGATATAAGATTTTAGTATTATTAGAATTGACTATATAAGTCATATCTATATTCATCTAACTTGATTTTTCTCATTTGAGTAAATTCACCTTTTATGTTTTATCTCTTTTATTTCATCCCCTCTAACTTAGTTATAGAATCTATCCTATAATAAGACTCTTTTTTTTAGTTTTCTCTTCTTGAACCATATATGAGAGTCTTCACTTGCTAATGAACTCACTCACCCCCTCGTGAGGATTGGATTGGATTGAACCAATATTAAAAATTAAAATATTTTTAAAAAATTTATTGAACTAATCAATTTATGAAAACCGTTAAATATATGTTTATAATACTATTTTTTTTTATCCCAAACTCATTAATAAGGTTTGTTTTTGGTTAATGAAAACAGACTTAATGCAATTCATTGATAAATTGTTGTCCAATACAATACGAAATATAGCTATAGTCATATAAACCTGCACGAGATTCAGTCACCGTAGCCAATTTTTGGTAAACTGAATTTTTGCATGAGATTCAGTCGTAATTTATGTATTATTTTTTCTATACTCTTAAAACCTCAAAACAGTCTAATGTCACGGTAATTAGAGCCGTAAGATCTCGTAACGGGCCCTTATGTATTGTGTCTCATATGATTGGATTTTAAATTAAAGCCCATAACCATATAACTTATGTCCAGATACATCTAATGTTGTTTATTTTATCAAAAACCAAAATTAGAATTTAATTTCACGAATCAGCGTTGGATTTAAATGTCAACCTCTATAATAGTACATGTTAGCAAAGTAAATTAAACTACACGACTTAACCTAGTAGTTAGTCGAAGAGGTTGAGATAATTAAAAATATAGATATTTTTATTCATATTGCAACTTTTTTATAATATTTTTTTTTAATTTTAAAATTAAACTAATATCATCATCGGCATTAATATTAAATGCTGATTAGGGTAGGTCCCTTTAGTGTAACAAAAGTGGTATGTGGAGAATTAATGGAGAGAATGAATATGGAAGAATTTATAGAATGGGGGGGTGAGGAAATTAAAGCTGAGAAGCAAGTGAGTACGTGTGGTTTGGCACGTATAATTACCAGTTCTATGGTATTAGTACAACTACATGACTTATTATTAGAAAGGTCGTTTCTACCTCTATAATATATATATATATATATATATATATATATATATATATATATATCTTTTTATTTTTTATATATATAAAATTATTGTATATATGAGTGAGA